GATGACAATTGTTGTTTATTCATGCACAATCTTTAAGAGCCAAAGAAGGTCATGGTAAAATAGATCTTCTATGGACTAATTTTGTGTACAAGAAGAAGGTATTCTATGTAGAGTCAAAAACCTGTGTAAACATGCTCTTAAACCAGTATCAGGATTCAGTCAGCTTCAGTATTCCTTACAGGTGCAAAATTACCTCTGAACCACAGAGGAAAATTTCACTGTGGTTCCAGGGGGAAAGTGATGACAAGACAAGAAGTACTGCTCTTTTCTGTGGGTAGAAAAGTCCCTAACCTGATCTTCTTCCCAAAATGGAAATTGCATTGCTCTTCAAATGCCCCTTTTTCCAGCTTTACATATCTATGCACTTTCTGGATTATGTCTAGAGAAATTAAGCAAAGCCTTGCTCATGTGAGATCTCAGAGCTTTTTTCCAGACCAAAGAAGATTTGAATGTATTTGCATGAGCAAGCCAAGTTGGCTTGTCACAGAGTAGTGATTTGGTATGTAATGGATGAGATCATAGAATCATTAACTGGTAGAGCAAAAGAAAAAAAAAGGATCAGTCTGCGACAACTCTAAATATTGATCTGATAGAAAGTTTCCTAATTGCTTTAACTGCTGATAATGTACTAAAGATCTTTCATAAAACATACATATATAGAGGATTCTAGCAGCAGAGGACTCATCTAAATTATATCACAGTCCATGTAGCCATCTGGCAAATCTCTGAAAATGTGGCATTGTCCCACATTATCTACATTATGTCTTAAATTAGTAAAGGCTGCAAAAATTCTATTTCGATGAAGTGATTCTCTCCGCTTCATCAATTAAACTAGTGCAGCAAGCAATAAATTGTAGAGAAAACGTACTCTTTCATTAAACTGAAAAATTACTTAGAGTGCTAGAAAAGGTCAGGAGGGTCATCTGATAATACATATGAAGTGGGAAACACTTCTAGAAAGTAAACAAGGGCTTTTTTTTTTTTTTTTGCCTTAGAATACAGATGGTGTCATGCAGAGTCAGATAATGTATTAATGTCAGAATAAGAGAGCCCCAGTAAATTTCCAAGCAGACAAAAAGTAGATTATTGTTTAAAGTTTCAGAAACAAAAAGCACAATACCAAAAACCATTGGAAGCAGCATTATTTTGATGTCAAGTTAGTGGAAAATGAGCAGACTTCAGTATTAAGCATTATTATGAGACTTGGAAGACAGCCAAATTAAAGAGCAGTGTAATGTTCACTCATTAAAGGTGAAACATGAATCGTGCATTTTACTCAGTCACACTCTTAGTAATACAAAGTGCATTTGTGAATTCTTACAGTAAAGTATTCAGAATAGTGCTGGAAAAGACTAAAAACTGAAGTCCAGATGCAATCTCTGCATCTTAACGGCACTGTGCTGCATCAGTTTCTGGTGAAACACACACTCCTCTCATGACCAGACACTGTGTTGAGCTCCTGGCAAGGGAGGAACGGCTCATCTCTCCTGAAGTACATTCTCAGGGGAGGAGAGAAGGCTGCAGGACTGCAGGAAGCATCAACCCTTCCCTTTTGTCTGCAGCCACTCCCATGATTTTCCTGGAGGCTTCATGATAGCTGCAAGTTCCTGATGGCATTTACCTGCTCCTCCTGCTGCTTAGAATCATTCTGCATGAAATAAGGTGACCTTGAAACCATGCAACCCTATTCACTTTGTACATCCCACCACCTTATAGCCCTTTAGTAAAAGCGGTACCAACTGCAGTTAACTAATATCTTGTTCTTCCAAAAGCAACAGCTGGAGCCTTGGGGTCACATCTTTCACGATCTGATAACACCAGTGGTGCCACACACCTACTGAAATGAGAAATTCACGCACCTTTTGTAACATTCTATCCACATTTAATCTTTAAAAAGAACGATAATTAGTCAGGAACAAAAGTCATACAATTTTTATTTCAAGGTAGCCAGCCTCTGTGCTGTCACAGCTTTTGCTGGAACAGCTCCAGCAGAGCAAGCCTGAAGTAAGATTATCCACAGATCAGAGGAGATCCAAACCTACCCAGTTCAATGGGGCTCTGACACAGTGACTGAGCCCTGAAGACTAGAAATTTGCTTCATGATGTAATGTTGTGCAATGCAGGTTGAGGAAATAATTATTTTACATAGCTACCAGAAACACCTCTGGAAATGAAGATATCTGCCTTCTTATGTCGCTGTCAGAGGAAGTCACAGCCTCACTTCTGGAATTTGCTCAGTACACATTAGTGATTTCATAATCATTCCTTGGATAGCAACATTTCCTTCCTGAGACCTTGTTCGGATGAACCAAACTGCCAGTCGTGTTTTACCACTGTTCTGGCAGGAACTTGGGAGAATGGCTTCAGGGAGACTGTGCCTTTTGGAATCAAGGGGCTTTTAGGTGGAGTCAACAAATCCAGCAGTAAATCGGCGATGCTGGCTACCCACTGAAACCCTTAATGATAAGACTTGCATGTAGTAAACTACAGGCAGCTAAAGGAAATTAACAGGGAGTAAAACAAAAGCAGCTCAGGAAACACAGCAGATGCTTGCCTGCTGTGCCAGTGGAGACTGTCAAGTGGCAGCTCCTGAGCTTTCAAGTGTAGCTCTCTGTTTCACCCCTGAAGATCCAGCTGAGCAAAAAGGCTAGACACAATCTGATGCTCCTTTGAAAGGCTGAGTAGCAATAATCAAGCTTGGCATTTACACAGTATTTCCACCTTTGGTGTTTTATAGACCTTAATCAATCAATTCTTGTGCTTCCCTGGGGAGGGAAAAACGAAAACATCCCTTATAATGAAAGAAGAAATTATGAAAGAGGAGCTAAATGCCTTCCCCATGGCTTACAGAAATTCAGTCTTAATAAAGGATATTGAATTCAGGAGACTTTAGCACAGTACCTGGTCTGCTAATGCATGTCTTCCCCTTGTAGTGCACCACAACTGCACCAGAAATGCTTCCTCCCCTGTGTGTACTTGCTGAGACCCAGGACAGCAGCATCATATTCTCAGATATGCCAGTAGATGTAGTCATGCCACTGCCAAGATTATTTACAATAGGTACAAAAGCTTGCTGATAAGATATATGCACATAGTATGGTCTTATCAAAGACCCAGTCACACTAATAAAATGCAAAGGTTGTCATTTAGGATGGAAAATCCTATGATTTAAAAGCAGTGGCCAAATATTGGATCATCTTATATATTGTTAATAAATCAGAACAAGCAAGGCACAGAATATCTGGTGTAAAATTTAGAGCTCTTCTCTAATAGCTCCCTCAGGTAGGGACTCCAGATTTTCTATGCTAGGTTCATGTGTGCCGGTTGCTTCTCCTGCAGCTTGCCAGTGCAAAAATAGCTCAGAGGTGAAGTTTTGTGGAGAAGGTTCTGCTACCACCCTTCCTTTGGGTCTGTTTGTTCAGGTATCAGTAGGTGCAAAAAGGCTCCAAAAACAGGGTATACACAGCTTCACAAGTGTGTGGCAAGTGTTTGCTGACTGCCTTGAACACAGGCAGCTTGGATTGTGAGCTGTGAGACAGAGCTGTTTTCCACTTCTGCTGATTCAGGAGGATACACCCTTGGAGAGAGAACCCTGTAGCAAATCCTGGGCATTAGAAATCCAACATCTTCCACCAGCTTAACCAACTTCAAGGAGACCCAGTAATCCAGGAGCCATCCTTCCCATTTCTTTCCATTAAGGTAGCAAAGAGAGGAACACAATGCCATTTGTGGCACTGTCATACTTCAAAATCTTATTCTGTACCTTTTTGGAAAATATTCAGCCCCAGACATTAGCCGTGCTTAAAGACTTCATGTTAGGGTGTGCACTGATCTGATTCCAGGGCAGCTTGGCTGAAGTCTGGGATTTTGAGAAAGTTAACGAGCAGAAAATTTAATAAAAATTTACACAACTGAACAACCGAAAAGAAAATACTTCTATACAGGCTAGAATCCTCTGCCAACTCAAGGGAAGGAGAGAGAAAAAAAGAGGGATTGTTTCTTGGGGCATGGGACATGTATTAGTGCATATCAGTGCCTTCTGTAGAAGCAGTACTGAATTCTGTGCGACCATTCACGTGAGAAAATCATGGTAAATGTGTGTACATTATTGCATCTTTTAGTGTTTCACCTATTGTAGGCTCGTTCCTGAGGCACTGGCATTTAATCCATAATTTTGAGTCCCATCATCTTCTGGCAATCAGCAAAAAAAAACAAAGCTCTGTATGCAAAAACCCTGAAGCTGTGAATACCTTCATGCAGGTGCATCTTTTGGTATAGCTGGCTTGTACTGGTAACTATGACAATAGTTTCTAACTAGGGTTTAAAGACACCCATCCCCCTGGGAACAGTATGCCTTGTGTCAGATCATCCTGTCATTCTTAACACTATTTGAGTTTTGCAATGAAAGAACACTTTAAAGCTACATATTCACAATAGTGGAAGGAGCTTACCAAAAGATCAAATAGCAATGCATTGTTAAGACTGTATTTAATGAAGAACATTTTCCTTGGCTACTGCAGTGCTGCTGGTTGTCTACGTTTCTGACTAATCTGTCCCTGCAGTGTCCTTTAAGGCTGACATGACCTGGAGAGTTTTAGATCTGTGTGTGTTCTGCTTTTATTGCTAATGATGACTACAGGAGCCACCTCTGACAATTCCTTTTGGCAGTCTGTGGGTTTCATTTCCCACCACAGGCAGAAATATGTTCTTCTTTCCCATCTCGTCTTCTGGTTTTCCTGATCCTCATCTCCAAAAAACCAGCTGTTGATGTGTTACATGTTAAAAATTATTTTGGCTCTTTCACTCTTCTCTTCCCATTAAGGCCTCTTAACTAATATTTCTATTACATACTTGAATTAGAGCATTGTTAGCTTGAAACATAACCACTATTTTCAATTTTAAAGTGTTTTAAGACACAGTGGTATGGCTTTACAGATCATGCATTCAAGAAGTCATTAATCATATAATCAAGAAGTCAATAACAATCATATTTTACTAACCTGGAAATCACTTCACTCTTAGCATCATAGAAAGTCTCACCACGATCTGTTGATCTAAGTGAATGACAAAATTGGAAAGTAAATTACCATGATTGATTAAAACTTCTTTATCATCAATACTCTCAGGTATCCACAGCAGCATGGCAACAGCAGTAGCGCTTAATATTCATTCATTTGAATCCTGTTTCATTCGAAACAGTGAATTTTCACTGTTTCTAACTAAAGCGCCACTGTCTGCCTGACAGGAAATGTTCTTTCAATGAGGTATTTCAACAGATACTTTAGAAGCTGGTGCTTCCTGTGGAGTCCCCACTTAATGCCCTCAAACAACAAGACAAACTGTTCAATTTTTCTAGCTTACAATTTATTTTACTCTGTTATGAAATCCCAGATGCCTTCCAGCCAGTTCATAAATGAGAGAATATACTTGTCTCCTTTCAGCCAAATTAGGCTAGGGAGATTGTAAAGAAGCACAGGAGAGTGAGCAACCAGCCCACAGCAAATGATGCTGCACAGGAAGCATTTATTACATTGATTGCTCTGAAAGTAATGCCTCCTATTTATTTCCCTGGAAACTACAATAGATACAAAGAGCATAATAACAAAGAGCACAATAAAATAGGAGGCATTACTTTTGGAGTTGCCCTCGTATTTTACATTCAGAGGAAGTCCTCACTAGGTTTGTGAGTACTTTTTGCATACATTGTGTTGCTTGCGTACCATTTTGTACCAAGCTTGTGACTTTGATACAGAGCCAACCAAACCAATCTAAAAAACTAGGAAAAGGTTTGGCTCCTTAATTTCAGCATGGCAAACAACTGCAGTGCTTCAAAAGACAGGAGGGGGTGCTGGGTGCTAGCATCAGATTTGTTGTGTGAGACTCCAATGTCTCCCAGTATCTCAAAGTATTTCACCAGTATAATTGTTTGCATTCTTAGCACTGCTCCATGGAGGAGAGCTCACCCTGTATTACTGGCAGAGGAGAGTAACACCCAGGTACACAGACCTACCTCTCCTAGCAAGCTGTTGTACTGCCAGCCTGAAAGTCTCCTTCAGGTTTTGCTTTCCAGTCTCCTGTCTGACCGGTTTTCCTCTGAAAGACAAAGCCACGTAAGTAATGCATTGCACAAAATCTCATCTTAAGCTCTGTTTCCCCAGTGCAAGTCTCTGCCCCCTCTAGTGGCTGGACCGTGTGTCGAGGTGCGTGGATCTGAACTAATGGAACTGGTTCAGGCAAAATCGCTGCAGGACCGCCAATGCCAGTTCCAATTCCAGCCGGCAAAAGACAGCAGGGAGCGGTGAATATGAAGGTCAGAGCAAATCTCTGTAATCGCTAGAAGGTGAAGGTGAGAACCTAATGCCAGACGTGAAGGCTCAAAAGTGAGCAAGCAAACTAAGTCAGGTGGAGCAGCACAGTGTTAAGATGTGGCTTTCGCACTGCTTTGAACAGACTGGAGGGAATTAAGCATTTCTAAAATGTTTAATTACATCCTACTACAGCCTGCACAAGTGGTGGAGGAAACAACATGCAAGAGAGTGTCACTTCTGCTAAGCTTTTCAACTTCAAATTAGCAAAGCCTGCGTGTTTGACAAATTACCAGAGTTACAGTATAATAGCATTATTTTTTTTTTAAACTGAAAATCAAGATTCTTTCTCCTTCTGCCTTTTTAACTATCTGCTCTCGGTTTGTTACCCTGCTTTTTCAGTCAGTCCTTATTTCCAGATAGAGCTGATACAGACAAATGACCAGGTTGTAGTTCTGGGAGAGATCTGGGAGCACAGTTGCTCATGGCAGCTGTGGATGACATACATTAATTGGGAAGCAAATAACTGTGAATTTATTTTAACTGTGGTTATATTAAACAATATTGGTAAAACATAAATAAATAAAATAATTTTAAATGTAAATAAATAGGAATTTAATATTCATAATGTATGTGCTAGAATTTTTATACACACAGCTATGTACATTCATTTGTTCATGCAATCTGGATTACTTTTAAAGTCAGAACTGCTTGTGCAAAATAGTCTTTAATGTGGCTGTTTAATACATGGTCATGGTAAAAAAAAAAAAAAAAAAAAAAAAAAAAAAAAAAAACTGCAATTCATGCCAACATACATAAGGGCTGCTCTGTTAGTCTGTTAGCACTGTGAAAAGTAAAACCTCCAGGAGGAAACATGGTATGGATGGAGTTTGTTTTCCAGATAACAGCTGGTAAGGTGCTGTATTTTGTACTTGTTACCAAAACAATGTTGGTATCACACAGATGTTTTACCTGTTCACAGATCAGTGTTTTAGCTATTGCTGAAAACTGCTTGCACAACATGAAGGATTTCTGCTTCTTACCCTAACCACCTGGGACAGATGACTTGAACTGGCTAAGGAGATATTCAGCACCATGCAAAAGTGGTGCTCCCACCTCTAGACAAGGTACCCATATCCTGAAAGTGTAAAGCACACAAAGAGATATTCCTACAGCCTTATGAGAACAAGAATAATAATACCTGTGGCTAGTCCTATCGGAAATATGGATGGTGCTATTGGTAAGTATGGATAACTTTTCTTCAGCCTATGCAACAAACTAGTACAGATGTATCTTTAATTATTATTTTCTGATAATAAAGCCTAAGCAAGCTAATTTCCTGAAGGACAGTTCTAAGCCCGATGGCACATAGTGAGGTTATACTCCTCTCTCCAAAGCCAAGTCCATTCAGTGATGGAGGAGCCAGACTCTTTTTGTGGGTGCCCAGTGACAGGACAAGAGACAATCTGCCAAGAGATTCTGTGTGAACATCAGGAAACACTCTGGAAGCAACTCTACTGTGAAGCAACAGAACAGTGACAGGCTGCCCAGAGAGGTTGTGGAGTCTCCTCCTGGGAGATCTTCTACACCCACCTGGGCACGGTCCTGGGCAACCTGCTTGAGCAGGGGTTGGGCTAGACATTCTCCAGAGGTTCCTGCCAACCTCGTCCACTTGGTGGCTCTGCGATCTTCAACAGCAACAAGTGCTGAATGTCCCAGCTGTGTTTATAACCAATAATTCTCTACACTGTACCTCGAGTGCCCATAGGGAGATGGCAGATGGAGCTGTGACCTAGGAAGGGAAATAATACATGGTAAATTTTACTGGGCCTTGGCTTAATTGGAAATGAAATAACTGTAACAAGTTGAATCATACCTTGCCTTTTCCTGTATTTAGGCAGCTCCTGCTCCCTTTAGCCCTACTAACAAGTTTCTTGTCTGCTGGAGAAACTCCATAGATTTTTGAGTGACTGCCATTGAGCACTTGCAAGAAATTCCATTTAACATTGTGCAAGAACAAGACACCTGAACACAGATTAATGCAAGGAAGGAAAGCCACATCTCAGTGCCTCTCCCAGACTCTGCTGTCCCCACTCTCAAACAGTCCTGTTGTGAAGAGTGTCATTTGCAATGGGCTCTTTAGATACATTTGACAAATGGCACAGATGTAAAAAGGTCTTGCTCTTACTCAAAATTTTATTATGTTTACAAAATACTAAGTCACAAGTGCTTGTTAATCGTTTCAATAGCATGAACTTTTTGAAAATTGCTCTTGTATTTATATACAAAACAAAATAATGCATTGAAATAAAAGGTCAGCATGGTCTTTTCTAAGTGACTTACTCATTCTCTTTATTGTAGAAATAATAAGGATTATATTTCATTGAAGACTGCGGCGTTTTATCCATCTCACTCCTTTATACCCCAGGAGAGGTTATTTCAGATCTCATGGATTCCTCAGCCAGGGGAAGAGAACAATATTATCAAGACCAAAAGATCTGCATGTGCAAGCATGTTCTAAATGAAATAAGCCAAAGCCAGAACAATCTGATATCTCAGAGAGGAAATTCTGTGCACTGGGGTACAATCCTGTTGGTTCTCATAACCCTAAACACACAAATACACAAGGAAAGAAAATTTGCATATCTGTGCTTTCCTCTGAAGTTGTGGTCTGTGAGGTACGCTCTATATTCATTCACACTGTCACTTCTGCTCTGTCTCTTTTAGATCTCTTTTAGCTTTCTGCTCCTGTAACAGGACTAGAACATGATAAGAACTATGTATGCCTAGATTTTTGTATAAATATTGGCAGATCTACATCTGGCAGAGAGAGCTTAACGAATTAGGAAGCTGAACAATCACCAACTACCTGAAGTTCAACAAGAGTAAGTCCCAAATTCTGCAGCTGAGGTGGGGCAACCCCAGCTATACATGCAAACTGGGGAATGTGATGCTGGAGGGCAGACTCACTGAAAGAGATTTGGGGATCCTGGTCGACAACAAAGTAGACATGAGGCAGCAGTGTGCCCAGGCAGCCCAAAGGCCAACAGCAGCCTGGGATGCATTAAGCCCAGCACTACCAGCAGGCAAAGGGAGAGATTGTGCCACTTTGCTCTGTGCTGTGCGGCCTCACCTCCTGCACTGGGTGCAACTTCGGGAGGGTCAGGTGGTTGTTAGGAAAGGGCTCTTCACAAGAGGTTGGTGGGCATGGAACAGGCACTGAGCTGACAGAGTTCAAAGAGTGTGTGGACAATGCTTCTAAACGTCGAGTTAGAATTTTAGGTGGTGCTGTGTGGAGTCAGGAATTGGATTCAGTGATCTTCACAGGTTCCTTCCAACTCAGGATATTCTGTATTTCTGTGATTCTATCATTCATAAGCCTCCTGGTCTTTACACAAGCTGCTCATCCTGTCGCTGATAGGATTCAAACAGGGAGAGATGTTCGGCTGTCACAGGACAGAGGAGGCACCCAGCATCTGCACTGCCATGGCAAACTTTTGAATTTTGAACATTATAGTTTTCAATCCCTAAAAGTTTGGGGCCAGTATTTCACAGCAGACACAGTGGGCAAACTACATGATTTCTCCAGTATGTTACATACATGCGCATATCTTACATATATGCACATTCACACAGACTGAGAACCAAATGATGAATTCAGATTTTGTGAGTGACATTGGCTCCTCATGCCACAAAATGCATCAGACCAGCCTTAGAATGATGGGGTCGTCCAGGGTGAAGGGGATCTTGTGAGGTTTTCTTGTCCTATCTTCTGCTTAAAGCAGGACTGCATTCCTTTAAAGCACATAGGGTACAAGTCGCTGCTAGTGTTCTAATGGTATGCTTCTCAGAGGATGGAGACAGTGTTTAAAACTACCAGCCCTATGCTGTAAGCAGATGGAGATGACCAAACTTACCAGCTTACAGGTGAGAGCTGCCCATATGTTCCTCTGGCTTCAACTCCATCTGTAGGAACTGGATGTGAAGAAGTAGGTCCTATCTTAAACTGGCCCAAGGTACCCATGCACTGCAGCAGTTTAAATCACTTGCAATCTGGTTGTCTTCTTACTTTTTCCCTAGTCTGAAAAGCCATGATACATGTTGTGCTCCTTCCCGGCGTTTTCAGATCTGAAACTTACTTAAACAAACTTAAAGCTTGGTATGGGAAGCCAGTTTCAGTGTTACTTAGAAAAACACCACTGATGGAGAAGCAAAGTGATCTGCAGACTTGCTATTTGGAAGCATTATTTTTTTGTTCAGTGAAAATCAATCAGCATATTGTAAGAAGCCTCACACTGTAATGCCTCAGCACCCAGCAGAAGTACAAAAAGCAGTGAAAATACAGCCAAATTTGGATTAACATAATACATTGAGTTTCTAAGCAACTCCACAACGCAATCATTTTTATTTCAATACTCAAGGAGAAAAATTATTGTCAGTAAATACCTTCTGAGAGGATTCAAAACTGTTTTGTTATGGATGAAGGTGGAATGTCCCCAAATACAAAGTTATATCAGTACTTGAGATTCTAGGTGGTTGTTTAGATTTTTGGGCCTGTATCTATTTTCTTACCTCCCTGTATGTGTTTATTTATACCCCTGATTCACCCAAGAGAAATATGCAACATAGAGACTTTATATTTCAACATGTAATCTTGCAATGAAAGCATTTTTCCAAAATGTACTGAAGACTTCCTGCTTTCAAATGGTCTAGTAACAAGAATTACTAAGGTATGTGGAACTAGAAAGGACAGAGCTATAAAGCAGCAGTAAATGAAAAAGCTCTTACCCTTGAACAGATTTTATTCAAACAAATCATGAGAAGATTAAGCCTCTGGGAGAAAGATAACTAAGGTCATTATTTCAGTGAAAGGTTACCAGATATGTTGGTGAAACAAAATGCAAAGTAAGAATAACAAGCTGTTTTGAGGAAAGCGAGGGCTTTTGGTGCTTTTCTGATTCACTCTTCCTTTCTTTGACACTTCTCCTGCCCCCTTGATCTTATCTGTAGAAGTGACTTTGGTGTTATTTCTGACCACTTGCTCTTGGCAGCATGCAGTTTAAATTTTGCATACTTCTCAGTGAAGTTTGCACCACACTTTGGCATCCTCAGCACCAAGATAAGATCTCATAAGTTCTGAGGAGTGACGACCTGGCAGAACTTGACAGGAGCCAACAAGGGTGCTCAGCCATTTTAAGTAGGCAGGAAGAAACCCTGAGCCATTGCATGGCTGTTTCCCTTCCCTCCTTATGTTCCCAGAGGTTTCCTAGCCTGCCCTAGGCATGAAAAGGGAGAAATCCCAGAGATATTTTCAAAGCCGGGTCTCCAGCATGATTAGACATGTTTAAAACGAGTGGGAGGAGACAGGGGGGTAAGGATTTGAAACTGTTCTGAAGTAATAGCAACCTCAGCTGCCACAACAGGGTGCAGAGATATGTGATATACTGAGATCATTGGAGTTCGGAGGCGTCCTCTTCAGACCACGACATTTTTCACTCTTTTCGGAAACAGTATTACATTACAGGTGCTATAACTTTTCTTCAGAATCAGAATGACCAGGGAACTGTAAATCTAAATCATGGCTGCCCTCAGGAAACCTGCCAGCCTGTAAACACAATGAAATGAATGAGATGAAAGCATCTGAGTGAGAAAATGAATTTTAGGCATTCCACTGAAGTCTATTTAGTTTTTACAGCCTGGCCAAGCATCTAGAAGCAACAGCTGGGAAGGACATATTAACTCCCAGTGACTAATGCTGGGAAGCTTACCTTAAGCTTGAAATTTTTGCATAGAGGATCAAGAGGGAAGAATTGTCTGATTGCCTCAGTATACCGCGTATTCCTTCTTTGCTGTAAAGGGACAAGATGCTGCCTTAATTAGTAAGTTTTCCTGCTTCTTGATTAAATTGATGACATTTGCAATGAGGAATTTGTAATGAAAGTCAGTTGAAAATGCAGTCTGACTGCAAGAGCGGGTCTTCATGCTGCTGTTCGTTTTGCAGCACACTGTCGTGCCTGCCATAATCAGAAGATTCTATTTTTAAAGGGGTGTCAGAGATTTCTGCTCACACATCAAGGCTGGCAGGAGCAGATGAACTCTAGCCAAAAATGCAGGAGCAATTCATATACTTCTTTTTCATATTACTTCATTTGAACCTGAGCAAAGGTTCATTTTTAGGTACCAGTATTCTGTGATACAGAATACTGTCACCATTAAAGTGTTTACCTCCGCCTCCTTTCTAACATTTTTCATTTTCACACTTTCCCATGTGTCACCTGAGTGCAAAGGATGAAGTCAAAGCCCCGCAAGAACATTTCCTCTCCAGACTGTAACAGACTATAAGTCTCATGTTATCTTGTTCTCACAAGATTTGTAGAGCTCTTGCACAGGTTTCATAGAGTCAAAGTGCATCCAAGAAACACCCAGTGGTAACTTTGCCAAATATTCCCTGCAGTTTAGCAAACTGAAGTGTAACCTGGATTCCTCTAACATCTTTCAGACAATATTTGTATCTCAGATGCTAACTACACCCAATGCACACACACATACACATACACTTCTCATGGTCCAAACGACATTCCTGGATACTTTCCATATGCCATTTCTTTCTACATCCCATTAAAAAACAACAAACAAACAAACAAACCAAAAAAAAAAAACCTCATTGTAAAGAAAGTTGCTAAGCATTGTAAATAAGCAGCTACCTGACAACTGTAGAATTAGAGGGAAATAGCTTCACCACTGTGATTACCTTCTTATCTCCCTAGGTACCAGGTCCTTAACTTTATTGCTCACTGATTTTTTACACAGCTCCCATCAGATTAAAAAAAAATCTTGCTGTACAGCAGAAGCAAAACTAATGATTTGTCCACCAACCTGATTCTTTGTTTAGCTTTGTCAGGGTTATTTTGCCATGAATGTGCTTAGGC